AAACTGAGTGACTAGCATGAGCAGCGTGCGAGGTATATATTGCATGTAACCGAACTGGCGTAGCACTCTCTCCGGCATGTATGGCTACTGGAAGTCGTGGTACATAATCCACCTGTCGAAGATGGTCCTCGGATGTGCGGCTGCCTGTTCGCGACCGAATGACTTCCATTCGACCTGCGAATGTTACCAAAATTTATTATATAGTATAATAAAATACCCCTTACAGAATACAAAGAAATAAAATATAACCACTACCTCTTGCTCAGTCATCGCGTCGAGTTGTGCATAAATCTGCTGGAGTCGACTCTGAACAGGCTTCGGGCCCTTATAGCTAACGGCAGTCTGGGGCTCTGGGCCAACCAGCAACACCTCGACGTCCCCGCCTCTTCGAGGGCTGAAAGTATGGAAAATACTCGTATATATATGCCCGGAGAAGGGTCATACAACCAGCCATCGTGGTACACCCTGCTCGACTAGCAATCCCAAGCTGACGGTAGAGGAATGCTAGTGTACCAGATCCCCAGGAGTAATCTGCAATATGTTTGACACCTCCGTGGAGCTCGTTCATAAGCAAAGCACTAATCATGTCCCCACTCTTGTCGAGGAAGAGTGTCGAGACTAACAAGATCCACATCTAAGCTTGAACCTCCGTGCCTCTATGCAAGCTTTAAGTTAGCCACCTGCAACCCAAGCAATCCCACGACCTTCATCTTCAACATATTCACTTCCGGAGGTTCGGTCAACAAGTAACCCTCAACTAGAATCACTAAAATGTGTGCCATATCATGCATCATGATGGTCATCTCCCCAAACGGCAAGTGAAAAGAGTTTTTGTCGGACTGCCACCTCTCTATGAATGCAGAAATAAGCGCAAGGTCAATGTCAGCGTACATAATATCAATAAGGTGATATAAATCCGTATTCTGAATCTTCAACTGCACGTTCTCTAGCAACCACTTATACCATCCATGCAATCTAGACAAACTCTTCTTCGATGGCTTCATCTGGGAATCTCTTAGTTCTCCATTCCACAACTGATAAGTAGTGTGGCTAAGAAAACTAGGAATCACTGACCTATCACATGGCCTGCCAGGTACGTCGTCCGTCGCAACCCAATCATCAATTTTTTCGTTAGAAACCTTAGACCGTCTGCTAGTACCTGAAATCGAATAAAGAGTAGTTGGTTAATACTTAACTTTAATGCAATGAAGAGATTGATGTCGCAATAATGAATGCTTAAATATATAATTACAAATATGTACCTGATGACGCCGCAGCTGCCTCAGGACGGATAGAGGCACCAATGGAGATGGCACCAAAACAGGAACAGGGCTGACTGGTCCGACGGGGGTGCGACGAAGTCCCGCCAGAACGATACTGGGGGCCGACATCGTGAAGAGTACTACTAGGACCTCCAAACAAAATGCCCCTCGGGCCGGCATCATGAAGAGTAGTACTAGGACCTCTAAAAAGAGTACTCTATGGGCCGGCATGAGGACAGGAACCAACGGGAGTGTAAGCTGACTTCAACCCCGATAATCCAACAAGTGTCTTCCCTGCTTGAAAAGGGTGAACTGGAGTCTGATCATCAGTATGACCAATGGGGTTCAAAACTGGGTTACCTCCAAAATGTATATCCCTCCTCTGAGGCGAGGAATACTCGTCAGACTCATCCTCCTCCTCCTCATCCACACCGTCCCCCCGCCCCCCTCCCCTCCCCCACTCTCAACGCTATCATCATCTTGTTCTTCTTCTCCCTCTATCATCATCATCTACGTTCGCCGACTCACCAAGTGGGCCAAAGGTAGGATGTACATTTTTCAGCTTCTTTAACTTTTTATCTTTTTCTATAAAATGAATAGCATATAGATTGCGCGTAACTGCATGGCGCTTATCAGATCCCTCAAGAGGCGATATCCCATTCTACAAAAGTTTTAAATTTTACACGTAACTTTAAATAATCCTGAATACGTCCCTAAAAAATTAATTTTTAAACATACTTAATAAAACCTAAATGATAAATTAGTAATTTAAGTTAATTACTTTAATACATTGTTATATTATTTAAATAACTAATTATATAAAATTATCTATTATACATCTTAAATCTTTAATTTATTAAATCTACTAAATACAAATAATAATAATTCCAAATATTCCAAAAATAATAATAATAAAATTGAGATTTTAAGTAATTTTAACGTACCTTGAGCTCCCCTGTTTGTTTTCGTAGCCGTTGATTTTGTTCCACCGTTGAATTTGAGCTTTTTTGGCTTTAGGAATGAGAAAATTTCAATTGAAAGATTGATTTAGGAATTGAAAGAATGAAATTGAAACTAAGAATTTATAAAAACTGGTAGAGTCAAAATGGTCTTTTTCGATTAAATCAGGGCGCTCAAAAGAAAAAAATTAGGGCGATCAATAGTCTCAAAGTTGATGAACAAACTAAATGGCTCTTGATGCATATCAATATGTGTATGGTGTTGCAATAGTTGACGCATGTGCATATCATGAACTTACTGATTAGATGTCTCTTATGTTGATTACACATTGTTTTAATTCACTTCTCAATTTTTCGTTTTGAGACACCAAATTGCGGGTATTAATCGCTGGAATATTCTTATCACTTCTTTAATATTTAAAATATCTACACTACAAAAGAAAAACTTAAATAAAATCTGCTCAGTTCAACTGATACCTTGTTATAACTTCAACAGTTCATGCCTTCTCCATATGTTAATAATAGTACAACATTTTCGGTTCAAATGCGGAATGGAAAATATAAAAAATAGAAAATAAAATAGAGTAAAATCCAAAAAAAAAAAAACAAAAATGAAAAAAGAACCCCACCAACATAGACAAATTCTAGCCAGGAAATCAAAGAGTACACTGAAACCGACACCAGATAAACAATTCCTATAGAAGAAATTCATAAAATGAAAAAATCGAAAGAGAAAAACACACTTAGATCACTATAGCAGACCTCATACTTGCACATCATAATCTAACATATGATGATCCTCACTTCGAAAAGAGAGGCTTCAATATCGATCTGGATCTGCTACCACCACATGTATCTCTATATAAATCCTTTAGAATTTATGAATTAGTTGAACTGTCACTAGACTTGAAATTTAAGATTCCAGATATCTTTGGATTAAAATTAAATTTATTATGAATTGTGAATTAGGATCATTTAGATAACTTTTAAAATTTAAGTATCTGAATTGTTATTGTCATTCCCTGTTTTGTTATTTAAGAATCCGATTTGTTATTGCCATCCCTTGATGTTATTATTATCCTGTAAAAATTCCCAAGTATAGTAAAATGATTTTTTTTTTTTTTGGACAACCTTCTAAATTTATGACACGTGCCTATGAAATATTTTTGATTGGATGATAACGCGCGATTTGACATGAAATCCTATTCCTTTTAATATATAAAGATTAAATAGTAAAACCCCTATCAATCCAAAAAAAAAAATAGTAAAAGAAAAAGAAAGAACTAGATGTAAAACAGAATAAAGAGGGGGTATTTTTTGGGATTTTTTTTTTTTTTGAAGCATTTCCTTTTGTTAAAACAATGTCTTTCCATTAGCCCAGAATTAGAAAGAGTTAGCCCAACTTCAGAAAGTAATTGGGCCTTTTGTTGAAACTTTAAACAAATTTTATTTCGTCTTTCTCAAGAAATCGTCGAATACTCTCTCGCACTAAAGTACACAACAGCAATATAAATTGATGATTTCTCTGGCCAATGTCAATAGAATTCTGATAAACTTGCATTTTACAAGTTAAACTCTTCAATCGTCCCTCGGTGTTATTGTTTTCGGTGTGACAGTTCATTGATAATTTTAAAATTTCAGTATTATCAATGAAAATTTGAAAATTATGTAATGGGACAATTGCCCCTGTTTGGCGGGCTGATTCCGTTACTGCTTGGATGAACAATATCTTTGCCGTCCTAGACATTAAACTATTTCTTCAAGTGAGAAATAGATTTTTTTTTCAATTATGTACTATTGAATTACAATCACAGATATTGTCAACAACACTCATTACCTTACACTTTGGGGTCGTAGTCGCGTGATACCTGATTGAAACTCGGCAATATCTTTTAAGAATTGCTGCTTGTTCCAGACAAACGTGCCTCCTTCTCTTTGCATAACTCCACTTAGTCGAAGCAGGCATTTCCTCGGGGCAGTAGTTCTCAAAGTGTCAAGACAGTTTCATTAGTCTTACAGAGCTTGACACCACTTTGTGTGAGACAAGATTCATTTAATGTAGTGTTTCAAAAAATAAAAAAATGGCACCAGCAAAACGCTCAACGCTGAACTCAAAATTCTCGCAGGATGACAACATGCTCATCCTTTTACATGTTTAACCGCCACACCATCACTGACCATTATCATTTTTATTTCACAGAAATGCCGACTTGCTTGTAAGCTATCTGCCGAGATCGGGTTCTCATCTGCCGATGAGCAACATCAGCTTGACTGTCTCTGGAGAGTTGTGAAGATTAAAACCTTCTCCCATTACATTTGCAGAATAGTTAATCTCATATGTAGTCTTGATACAGCATGAGCAATATCATAAGTAAAATTTGCGGGACAATTTTTCCCAACATAACCTAAAATAATTAGAGAAGTTGTGATATTACTAACCAAAAGTTAAAAAGGAACAACGCAAAAGTAAATCAAAATTCTGATGTTTTCTTTAAGTTAGTTCTTTACACAGGCATTGGATACAAACACTACTTGAATCTTTAGGGGAAAATAGAACCCCGAAGATAGCATAAACATGTAAGAACAAAATCGCTCTCTGGTTTCGCAATAAACTGATTTCTACCTAACATTATACATCATGTTGATACAGCAGCTCAAAGCTTTTCCTTCAAACACTAATCATCTCCATCTCAAAATGCCAAACCCAGTAATGATATCTCCCCCAAAGCAAAAAGATATAAGATGTTAATCCCCGCAACCTTTCGACAGACTTCGATCTTCACAGATTCTCCTTGAGAATCACTTCAGTTATCTCTATCCGGGTCTTGGGTCGATAGTGCTCATCAGTATCCACCTCTTCAATTTCCTGCTAAATGTAAATTTCTGATTACACGTGATGTTTTCCCCAATCCAGATGCAAAGCCAATATAGTGGTAATAAAACATAGTTTTCACTGAAACAATGAACACTCAACAAATTAAGGCAATGTATAGAGTTCGACAGTTTTAAACTCCCTCAAAAAGTTGAACTCGTTCCATTTTGTAGAACTATTGGTAGACAATGCCCTAGTGAAGATCCAACGGTAAGCGTAGAACATTTGACTGTTCTAATTTACATAATAAAAGGAAGAATTAAATCCATGTCAAAAAACCATCACTTCCTCTTCATCTACTTCTATACCCATCCATGCCCGCCACTACTACCACCACCACCAAATGTAAAACTAGTATCTGCCTTTTTTTTTTAAGGTTTTTCCCTTGTGTATTATTTTCAAGAACTTGACAGGTTATATGAGAGCACTCCACATGCCACTACCGTTCAACTTGAGTTCCTTTCATCAATACGTTCAGTATTCCTATATGTATTACAGATTATAATTAAACTGGTTCCGTCCACTTGTTAACATTTGTGACTGAAACCGCCAAAATTAAAGTCTGAAACAATCGAAATGACTGGTGCAGTTCATTATTCTAAACCAGTATGAAAAGGTTAAACCCAACCAAACTGTTAGTTTCTCTATCCAGCAGTGGTAGATACACCAAAGCACATAAATTCCCACAGGTTAATATTTTCTTCTCAAACTCTACACGTTATGTATGCTAGATTATGAACATAAAATCCAATAAACCAATATCCCAGATCCCCATTGGGGATGGAAAAAGAATCAATAGAGATGCATAAGGTTCGCTACAAGCTTATTACCTGGACAACATCTTCTCCCTTGACAACCCGTCCAAATAAGTCAATCTTTTGATTTAGATCTGGAATTGGTGCTGTAGTAATAATAAGATCAAATCCTCCACCATCACTTCTTGTCTTTGAAGTGCCCAGCATAAAAGCCTCATGCTTCAAACTGGAAGAAAAATATAACCCAGTTCAGCCAGCTCAAAAACCTTATCTACATTCTAGGAGAAGAAAAAAGCAAATGACAAACAGAACACCTTGTATCAAGCCGACCAAAATGCTTTCCTTTCTTAGCCCAATCCTCTACAGCACCAGGCCTATCAACATTGCCCCCTTGAATAACAAAGTTCTTAATCACACGATTAAACTGCATTCCATCAAAGTGCCCTTTCTTGCTGAAATGAAAAAATAAAATTGTCAAGGAGAACTCGTGGTCAGCCCCATCCAAAAAAAAAAACGCAAAGAAACAATGAGCCCTGAGCTGAGTATATTACTCCAGTAATATTAAAGAACAAGGCAATTACCCCCCAACAGCTTTTACCGTTTTGCAAAATATCCCCTTTGAGACAGATCAATTATGACACATTACCACCTCCACATTTCCAATTTATGCAATCAATCACCAGTTCAACATACACAGAAAATTCATTTTAACAAAGACACATCCCCATTAAGCAAATGTTATCTTTAATATTAATGTGAACTATCTTCAATTGTAATATTTCTAAATACATATTCCTTTTTTCGTCCCCGTGTGAATTACAAAAACAGTACTTAAAGAATCTAGCAGACCATTTTCTTCACCAAACAAGTCCCATGCCACAGCTGATAAAGCCAAAACAGCTAAAGACCAAGTATTAGTTGTGATTCAGGAATCTGGACTGTTTTCCTCCAGAGTTGCCTGACATGAATAAATTTTGTCATGAATTTAATTTTAACACAGAAATAATCTCCCTGAGATTAACTACCAAATATTAATTCATACAACCAAAAGAAGTTTCACTGCAATGCGTATGGGACAACAAAGTACAAAGGCGAAGTATTTTGGTGCGTCATTACGCAAAAACATACAAGGTTTAGTTTGAATGACCCAACACGTTTTAGCGTTTCTCACTTCTTAGGGTAATGCATCACATCTAGGAGAAGACTAAACACAGTGCAGTAGCAGAAAAAAGGAGATGAAGCAAAAAACATCAACTGGAAAAAACCTTTTCTCAACAAATTAAAGGCTTTTACGGCAAGTAGAATTTTAATTGATCACTTACCATGCATCAATAAATTCATTCACAACTTCCCGAGAACTTTCTTTGTGCAGTTCAGCAGTCACTGAGCCTTTGGAGGTATGGATGACCTGTTGAGGGAGTGCATCAAGGGTAGTTACAGAAGAAAATCATTCAAAGGCAAAATTAAAACAATTTGTACAAAAAAAACTGAATAGCTTTCAGTAAAACAGGACATAAATGCATATATTATACTTCTCACATTCGATACACAAATGAGCAGGAAGACCCAGCAGTGAAAACAAATTTGGAAGCACAAGTTTTATATTAAAACTACCAAACGTAGGTCATCTCTTCAAAGTTAAAACCGATTTGAAAAAAAAAATCTTCACAACCAGTTCACGTATAATGAGCACAAATAGAATGATTGACAGAAATTAAAAAGAACATCTACGACTTTTTACAGCCAACAATAACAAAATTTCAATCTACCTACTTGGTTAGTGGTTGTCCAATTTCTAGCAGGAGAATTTTATAAAAGGAACCAATTAGAATAATCCCAAGCTCCTCTCATGATCACCTAACTGCTTCAGTTAATCTGGCTTCAGTTAGGCTGGCTTGCAGGCTTCAGTTAAGACGTGAGTTCAAAAAGGGATGAGTTGGCATTAAAGTTTACATGTTGACAGCTGGAAGGAATAAACTAATCACTAACAATTGGGCGGCACAAGCTATGGAATTAACCTGCTTGCTTCCTTATGCTTGATATGATTTCTGTCCGAACTAAGTTCCCACAAGTAATCACTTTCATCTTCTTGGCTGATTTACATCACTTTGTTCGAGTTGATTACTATCTCGTATATGCTCACTAATCCATAATTAATCAATTAGCTTTCCTTCAAAAGAGTAACAATACAAATAATATACATGTGATTTTGTAAAGACCATACATTAGACAAAACTTGCGATATGGAAGGCTTTATAGTTTCATTCTAGGGATTTGACTGCTGAAGACCATATCCTGTGGGCCGTGGATATTTAATGTTAGCTTAGTTGAGTCCTTTTCAAGTAAAAACATGGTATATAGGATTCATAGAAATTCATAAAACATTTTCCAGATTAAGCTTCTCAATTTCCCTTAATTTGATAACAAATACAGGACAGCACAAAAAAAAACTAAAGGAACGAAATACAGATCACGGGCTTGCTCAATCACAGCTGGTTTGGGAGTGATAATCCTTGTTCTTTTACCCACATCCCCAGTCAAAAAAAATTAAAGATTGATTAGCTTACCTTTTTTTTACAATGGTTCTCTTTTTTCCTTTTTGTCAGTCCTTACCAGCCCTCTCAAAAATTCTCAATGACCTAGGCCAGAGAGGGGCGCGGGGGGGTTGTGTAGGGTGGTGGTAAGATTGGAACTAAAGAAACTACTCGTAATACTCGATTTGACTTTTCATCAAATTTGAAGGTAAGATTTAATTGTTGCCATTCACACGTACTTTTGTCATGTAAGCGACCATCTCTACAACAATTAAAGACAGAAATTTGTGAAAATAACTTTTGCTCTATTCAAACATGCAAATAAGGTATTTATTAAAATAATAATAAAAATAATAATAATAATAAATAAGAGGACATCATTTATGCATCCCTAGAAGAGGTTATATGAGAAAGCAGACATCGCTCGATTCACCCATATGCCAAGCAATTTAGCATAACGGATTACTGAAGCACCCGAGTGTCAAACAATCTAATTAATTTTTATTTTGAATACATTGGTAGTTTACTTAGTAAATTAGCTAAATTTGTTTATGAGAAGAGTTAAAAAGAAGCAATCAAAGAACAGAGATAACCTAGTTGCTCTTTGGTAATTAAAGAGGAAAATAGTCAAAGAAACAACCGTTCAGGTCTCGTCTACAAAAAACAAAAAAAAAAAAAAAAGAATACTCCAATGTGCCGAATATGGGTTTAACCTTCAGAAAATACCATGAGGACCCAAATTTTTCGCTTTAAAGATAACCACAGAAGATAAAACCATAGAGTAAAATAAGTTACATATTGTTATTCACTGGCATAATATCATTTCTAAATAAAGCAACCCACTAATAACTATACAGACAGCATTCAGAAACTGAAAAGACGTAAAAGGAACTTACAGCGTATCTAGGATTATCAAAATTCTTTGAATTGATTACGGCGTTATCATCCTGCAGAACAGTTAGTTAAAGAATTAGTCCAAATTGTAGACCTCACACAGGAAATTTGTTGATCACCTATCTAGATGTCAGATTCAAAACAATGAGAACTAAAAAGACACCACAGGCCAAAAGTCCAATTTCTAGAAGAGAAAGTATAATCCAAAAAAATAATAAGAAAAAGTTGACCGGGGAAATGATGTAAAAGATACTACAATGAAAAGTTGCCTCTACCTCATCAATTGAAATTGAATCCGCCAATTGATTCATGGACCTGTATCCAAAACGAACACATCAAATTCATGAAAATAACAAAAGAATGACTGCATCTGCACGTAAAGTATATACTAGAAGTTTGAGACATAAAAAAGTACCTCCTAGACCAATGTCTGTAGGTGGCAAAAAGAAAAAATCCCATGACAACAACCACCAGAACATAGACCATAATGGTTGGAACACTGACTCGGCTTGGACCCTTTTTCTTTTTGCTCTGTTGTAGAAGAGCTTGAGGCTTTATCCTCGCCATTTGACCTCCTAACTAGAAAACGTGAAAGACATATATACAAATTTCTAGATTAAAAAAAAAAAAAAAAGGAATGAATACGAGATTCAAGTTGGGCATTGAAGATGTTAAAAGGATTGCGATTGGAACAGTGGAGCAAGAATTATAACCAAAAACTAGGCTGTTCTAGCAACTTCAATGCGAAGAGATAATTTACAATCTGCTATACCCTAAACTAACCGAAGCGTGATTTCGTAATTAGATGTATTGTAATCAATATACAATTTCTCCCTCAACATTATCAGTCTACTCATCCTGAAAATACGGTATCAGATCATACCTTTCGACAATTTCCCCGATTCTTCTTTGAGATTTGCTTGCGATTCAGCTTGGTCGATGGTCTTTCTATTTGATTGTGTCCGGTGATTCAGTTCAGGCCAGTATCCACCGGCACCTCTTCGGATTTATTTTCCGACGAGAGCTCAGTTCAATCTGTCTATCAGCAGGTGGCCAATTCGATTTGCGCCACCCTGTTCTTACCAGAATCTGAATTTTCTGTTTAGCCTCGGTTATACTGCTTTTCCCACGACCTTTTGTTTTGTTGCTGAGTAGTAGGAGTATTTTTCTTGTTCTTTATTCCCCCAGAACCTTTGCCTTTCTTTATCATTTCTTTTTGGGCTGGGTTCTTAAGACCCTTTTATTGGTTGATTGGGCCGTCTTCTTTGTTCTTGTGGTGGACTAGACTTTTATGGCAAAATGTCAAAATCTCATCATACACCATTTATCCCGAAATAATTATTTAACTTTTCTATTATTTTTATTTTTTAATATGACGAATACGATAATCATTTTAAAACGGAAAGTCATGAAATATTATATCTATATTTATTTTCTCCAACTGCAATATTTATTGTTTATAAGAATAATAAATATAAATAAAATAACAAAATACAAGTAATCAGGAGAATGTAAACACATAGAATGACGTTGTGACTATAGTACAAAACCTTCGGTTTCGGTTTATGAACTACAGGTACACGGTTTAGAAAGTAGATGAACCTTAACCGATTTTAAAGTCTACTATTACAGTTCCGATTCATAAACTTTCGATTCACGTCTAGTTCAAAGCCTGTTACAGTTATTTATTAATGGTTTCAATTCGACTTCTTGACGGTTTCTATCCATTTCTTTACTATTTCAATCCTTTATATATATATTTTCAGCTTCATTTTAATCGTTTTATTTTCTTTCAAAAGAATAACGAAGAAAAGGATTAAATCACGCAAAATCAATAACTAAATAAGAAAATGAGTAAATAGAAAAAAGTGGGATGTAACAATTATTTTTACCTTTGTGATGGAAGAAAAATTTTGAATATGAAAATTTATTCTATATTTTAAAATTTTATTGAAATTAACTAACCATCCATACATAAAAATTCGCTCATTTCTTTTTATTATTTTTGTATTTTTTTTACTCTATCAAATTCATATCCATAAATATAATTATACATATAGTTTTTATGTATATAAAAAGAAAAACTTGATAAGGAAAACTTGCTTTTGGTTAAATTTTATCTATCTCGTTAACCTTAAACTAGATTCCCGGGCGAATGCCTAGCAGACTGTACATATTTTCTATTGACATTATATGTCATTACTTGATCAAATTAAATTTTCTTGTGACAAAATAATAAATGGAATATAATTAAAAAGTCGGTTTAATTATGCACGATGGGAGAAATCTCATTTGTATCATAATACAAACCAATAGCTAATTAGACTCATTTGTATTTTTAGTAAAGTTGCGCCTGCATTATTAGGTACAATTTCAATTCCCGTGGGAACATCAATTGGAATGAACCTAAACCCCACTATAACCCACATAATTAGTTCCATATGCTCGACTTATCAAGTCTTTGAGATTATGTTGTATCCGATTGCAACCTTCATCTATCCCTCCCGGCCTTCATCTATCCTCAAGAACATAAGCTGCAGATTTATGATTTCACTCATATGACGGCCTATAAAGTACAACAAAGGTCTCATTAAATATGATACGGTCAAGGAAGTAATCCCCTAATACATATATATTTGTTTTGCAAATAATTCTCACGAACCATCTAAAAAATAATAATGCTACCGCATGTATTTGAATTTGATTAAAATTAGTGAGATAAGGTACTTTTTTTCACAATATGAAACAGTTTTGTGGGCACTCAATCTAAAGATTTTAGTATTTCTAAGAGGTCAATTAAAAAGGAAGTAATCATAGGTAAAAAATTATAACTAGTCATAGTTGAAATAATGCTATGTAGTAATCATAGGTAAAAAAAATATTGTTAATTATTTTGAAAATAATTCTCACGACCCACCTAAAAAAGAAATGTTGCTACCGCATGTGTTTCAATTTGAATAAAATTAGCGTTAAAAGAAATACCATTTTCACAATATGAAGCAGTTTTGTTGGCACTTAATCTAAAGATTTTAATACTTCTCTAAGGCTACTTAAGAAGAAAGTAATCATAGGTAAAAAATTATAATCAGTCATAATTAAAACAAAAAATAAGAGTAATTGTTTAGGACAAGGTTAACAAATTTTAAAAAATTAGCAAAATAAAACAAGAATTAGCAGATACGAGATATGTTTTGGCTTGAATTGGGTAAATCAGACTAATTTCGAAAAAAAAAAAAAAGGAAGTCCATGATGAAGCGTTTTTTTTTTAAAAAAAAAAATAGGGATAAGAATTAAAAGTTATAATTCTTTAGCGATGAAAATGATTCGGATGTCCTTTTATATTTTCATGCACTATATGCTATTGAATTTTATTTCTCTTTTTTAAGGTGTTGATAAAAAAAATGATTAAAAATAATTCTCATGCTCCACCTAAAACAGAAATAATGTTACTGCATGTCTTTGAATTTGAATAAAATTAATGAAAAAATGTCTTTTTTTAAAAAAAAAATATAAAGTAATTTTGTTGACAGTTAATCAAAAAGATTTTAATAATTCTTACGGCTGCTTAATAAGGAAAGTAATCACAAGGAAAAGATTATAATTAGTCATAGTTGAAAAAAAAAATTAATGTTATTTGTTTTGGAAAAAATTCTCACGAACCACCTAAAACAGAAATAATTATAACGACCCAAGTCTTAAGCACGATTATTTATCGCTCCCGCCAGACGATCTCTCACCCAAGGCTTTATGCATCGACCATGCAAGCCACATTTTGATGCAGCACTACGAGTTTTGTGCTATTTAAAAGCAGCACCAGGGCAGGGCATCATCCTCCCATCTGATAGTTCCTTGCAACTGCGTGCTTATTGTGATGCAGATTGGGCTGGGTGTCCTACCACTCCACGATCTACCACTGGATACATAGTGCTTTTGGGTTCGTCTCCTATTTCATGGCGATCAAAGAAGCAGACTGTGGTTTCTCGTTCTATAGCAGAGGCAGAATATAGAGCTATGGCAGTTACCACTAGTGAATTGGTATAGCTCGTTCGTCTCTTGAAGGAATTACAAGTACCCTTGGAACATTCAGTTCCTTTATTCTGTGATAATCAAGCAGCACTTCATATTGCAGAAAATCCAGTCCTCATTAGCGCACGAAACATATAGAGATAGATTATCATTTTATACGGCATCATTTTCAGTCGAAGTTACTTGTGCCTCGTCCTATCTCTTCTGCGTTACAGCTAGCTGATCTCTTTACAAAAGCCTTAGGCCGTGATCAATTTTATACATTGTTAGGCAAGTTGGGCATTATAGATTTACATGCTCCAATTTGAGGGGGAGTAAAGACGTAACTTGTAAATTTGTATAGTTACGGCTAGGGTTTATTATTTACGGCTAGGGTTTTTTGTTTACGAAGTCATTCATATTGTATAAATACCACGTGTGTCAATAAAATCATCAGTTGATCATTGTCTTTACTGTCTATTATACATGGATTGAACGAATTGAAAGAAAGTTTGGTTCAAGGAAGCTAACTGAAGATGATAGGTTTGCAATGATAGTGCAGGAAATTACATGGAAAATCATCATATAGCTCTCCCAAATCTATATTAAGTCCATGTTGTTGTTCTATGGGTGTGGCGCAAGGGCGACATCCAGTAAGTCCACACTCTGATAGAATACCAAGCGCATATTTACACTGGTTAAGCGCAATTCCAGTTAGTGATCTTGCTACCTCGATACTTAAGAAATACTTCAAAGGACCTAGATCTTTGATGAGAAAACGACTATGAAGATATCGCTTCACTCTGTCAATCTTAAGTGAGTCATTCCCAGCAACAATTATATCATCAACATAAATCAAAACAACAAGAAAACAAGACCCATTACTGTAGGTGAACAAACAAGAATCAGAAAAGGACTCCTTAAATCTAGCAGTAACAAGAGACTGAGTGAACTTTTGAAACCAATTCCGAGAGGCTTGGAGCAAACCATACAGAGATTTTTAAAGACGACAAACACGCTGCTCCCCTTGTTTGGCAATGTCCTGAGGAATTTTCATATAAACTTCTTCATGAAGATCACCGTATAAGAAGGCATTTGTAACATCCACCTAATGAAGCTCCTAGTTACGAATCAAAGCTACAGCGAGTAAACAACAAATAGTGACCAATTTAGCAACTGGGGCAAAAGTCTCATTAAAATCAACGCCCTCAACTTGTGTGTACCCTTTCGCGACAAGGCGAGCCTTATAATGGTCAACAGTCCCATCAGGATGAAATTTAACCTTGTACACCCACTTGGAATCACTAGCCCGCTTTCCCGGAGGTAAAGGAACAAACGTCCAAGTATGATTAGCTTCTAGAGCTGAAATTTCTTTGGCCATAACATCTCGCTAATGGGCAAATTTGACTGCCTGAAAAAAATGACTGGGCTGATCAACAGAGGAGATGGCCATTAACAAGGCAATATGAGCTTTAGAAAAGCGAGAATAACACAGGGTCTGAGATAGAGGATGTACCATTGAGTTGACTGTTGGAATAGGTGGAGATGGCGATGGATTAGTA